TATATATATGTATATATATATATATATATACGTTGCTGTTTGTTAATGGGCTTTTTGAGGTTTACTCCTTTGGACTCACTTTTCTTTCTCTCGGTTAAATCAACTCTTCATAACCCTCACTGTTGAGGCAGTAATGATGCTGAGATGTTTGCAAAACTGCGGACAGCAGGTGTCTGAGGTAGGGAAGGTGTGCGCTATTACCCTTTCCAGGGGCTAAAGCGTTTACTAGCACACCATGCAGGCCCTTCGTTTCGCCTGTCTCTCAGCTACTAGACTACTAGGACTCAGCTATTCGACTACTAGAACTAGCTGAGAGATAGACGAAACAAAGAGCTCGCGTGGTATGGTAGTGATCGTGTGAGCCCCCGGAAAGGGTAATAGCGCGTTCGTTCCTTACCGCAAAAACCTGCGGTCTGGAGTTTTGCAAATTTCTCGGCATCATTGTGGCTGTATCACACGTAACACCCTGCCACGAAAAATTGTAATAAGCAGTGAATAAAAAGTTAACGCGGTTAACATATTTTGAACAACGTTCACGAAGACTACACAAACACGCTAACACTTTATGACATGTAATGATTATCAAAATACCAACAGTGTCGTTGGTCATCAACGTGGACTTGACGAATGGCTCTACTCGTAGTCCTGAAATGAGCAAATCAGGAACGAAAGTGTTGGATACGATGACAGGGGGACAGGGAACAAGTACATGCTCATGACAAAAGGCATGTTAAAACTAATGAGGTTTTGAAAGCATAAAGCATAAGCTCTGAGTCTATAGAAGATATTGTAAACACTGATACTGCATCAACACACATCGTCGTCTCGGTCAGCTTCTATTTTCAGTATCACCTTCTCGAAAGGTGCCGGTGGTGGTGGAACGCCGGGAAAACATGGATAGGCATTCTTCTAGAATCGTTTCTATTTTTGCTTAATAAAACTCGACTATGACTACATAAGAAACAACTGACATACATTATCGTAGACACGACGACGTTCATTAAAATTACGACGGTCAATCTGTCGATCATATTTTGAGACGATTTGAACCTTTGGCTAAAATAACACGTAGACACAAGATACTCATACAAGAGCTAATCAGTCATGAAAATATCATTATGTTAAATGGGTTCCAGCTCTATAGAATTCAGGAACAGCTTTAGAAAATTTGATTTTATGTTTTATGTTCATTTAAATTCGTTTAGGGCTTATTTTAAGGCGACACTTTCGTATCAACCGACTACTTCGCACCAAAACTTCAAGTGCACCATATCCCCTGCATTGGTGAACGATCTTAGTAAAGTGAAGTATTGCAAAACACTTCAACATACGTTTTTATCAAATGGCTATGTCAGTTAGCTTTTTCAGCACGTCACAGAGAGAATGTTGTTACCTCATCAGCACTTACGCTTGCGTAATTGTACTCTCCATAATGGTTAATTAAAATAGTGGACTTTCACAATAGCACAGCTTTTTTATGATCGTTGATTGGAATTCTTCGGTGTTTTTATAAGGTTATAGAGAAGAAATGAATGTAATTGTGATTGCTCTTTTCTGGCATTCTTTTTCAAAGGTTTTGATTTCAGCAAGTAAACGCACTGGATATTTTGACGCAGCGGCATCCGCAGGATCAATTCCTTGCTTTAATGCGTTGTTACGTGCTACTTGACGCTGGCGTTCGTTGAGTTCCTTCAACTGAAATCCCTAACGAATCACAGAAATCAAACAACTGCATGTTACAAATATAACAGTTATTGGAATTTCACTATACTCGTTAAAATTAAATGAAGCAAAAAATTTATTTCCATACCACTACGAGATGTTTTCACGAAAATATGGTGATGTAAAATGGAGTTATCAGTAATAATATGATTAGATTTTTCAGTGAAAGCAGCTTACATCGTACTCTTGTCGTTCATGGCGCTTCTCGAGGTCGTATTTTTCAGCTTCCAGCTTGCAGATACGCTGGTGCAGTTCCTTGATTTTCACTTTAAGGTCGCTTGATTGCAAATCAGAGGAAAGAGGTATGCCTCTTGCTACGGAGGCAAGGAATGACTAAAATAATTTCTGCTTAACTCCTACAATATGAAAAACCTCACCCTAATTTGACAAATGCCTAATGTCGTCGTGGGTCTGAAATAGTGTTGCACTAATTATTCGTTTTGTGAGCCACGTTTTGTAAGTATGTTTGATGTCACCTATGTTCCTGGCAATGTCCCCAGTTTTAAAACTCCTTGACCATTTTTGTAGCATTTAATGATATTTTGACTAGAAATATTAAGTGTTACATAGGAAATGTTTGAGTGACAATGTTACAGATAGTAGTAATTTATGTTTAATCTGGACGTGAACACTAAAATAAAGGATAAAGCTCTCGGAGTTGACCAATCCTTGAGGGATGCGCCATGCATTCGAGATCATTAAGCATCGTTTGGAAGTGATCGAATGCTTATCTGTCCTTTACAATGACTAGCGGTGGCTTACCGATGTATCGAGCCAGTGCTGCTATCCTCCCAGGCAAGCCTGGTATCAATTTCGACCCCAGAGAGATGGAATTGGTGGGCCATGAGCACAGGGTTCGACTCCACGTGTGTGTTGCAGGGCGCCTCCAACCACTGCGCCACACACGCCTTAACTTCAACACTACACGCCATTGATGGCGGCTTCGCCATTTCGTCGAATGGAACTCCTACAGTGATGATGCATTCTGCATTTTTTTTGAGTGCGTATGCATCAGTGGTTAGAGGTGCCTTACAATGCAGAAATAGATGCTAGCTCGATCGTACGAGCCGCTCTAACCGAAGCTCTCCATCCCTGTCGAGAGTGATAGAAGCTCTGATCTGATACGTCTACGGCAATCTGTTGGCTAGATATGGATTGAATGCATAACGCATCTCTAAGGAATTGGTCAGCGCCGAACGAGCTATTTCCAGCTTTATATTTTTTATAAATGAGTTCTATTTCTAGAAGTGAAAAAATAAGTAGTGGGGTTGAAGACGGCGGAATGCTCGCATTAGAAGGGCAATAAAATATCGCGCTTTATTTAAGAAAGCGCTGTTGCCGTAGGCAAAGAGTTTTATTTGACGAACTACTGCAGCTATAAAAAATTTTCTACCCAGTTTTTCCTTAATTTTCCTTTGCGACATACTGGTGTACTTCCAGTATAATTGCTTGCTGAAATCAGTGCGAAAAATGAATGACTAGCCATGAGTGCGAATCTACTGTTTTTCTAACATTTCATTGTCTTGAAGTTCCGTAAGATTTGTAAACTGTAAAGTTTCTGCCACGTGCATTACTAAACGCAAAATATTTTTTCCCGTACTTCCTTTCATATTCTAAAGGTTTCTACTGGAATAGATTAATATACAAGAATCTAATCGTAAGTTTGGAAGAAAGTAGACCCAACAACACTTGTATGAACGGACCCTCTTTGCTTCTTCTTGTTGCTCCTTGGTCATTCCCATTTCCTGTTTTGCTTGTACAATATTACCGAACTTGTCATTGCGATTTTCCGTTTTCTTAGGTATTACAAAGTTGCTAAACAGTAAATGGTAAAATACTGAGCCTAGACATCATTAAATCCCACTCAAGATGCCGCGTTAGAAGGGAGAGCTGGAAACGATTTTTGATAATCTTTTACCGTCCGCCTTGTCCAGCAGTTGCCGTGAAAGCAGCGCCAGACATTTGTTGTCTTCTCATTTTTTCTTCATCCTTCCTTCGCTTTTCCTCTTCCTGTTTTGCTTTTCGATCTTCCTTTAACATAAAGTTCAACATGAATAAACATTTCAAGTTCGTTTCAATATTAGGTCAAAGCTTGAGATTTTTGCAAACACTTATACCTCCTCTTTGCGACGACGATCTTCATCCTGTTTTCGGCGTTCAGCTTGCTCACGTTCCTCCTGCTCTCTTTCTAATCTACGTCTTTCTTGTTTTTCTTTTAGTTTTTTTAATTCCTCTTCCTCCTTCTCTCTCTCGATTCGTCTTCGTTCATCATATTCCTGAAGCTTGTTTTTCTGTTCTTCAAACTGTCGTCTTTTAGAGGCCTGGAAAGGTGCTAATAAAGCCTTGAAAAGTTAAGGCCATTTAACATCTCAAAGCATTAACCAAAAAATTTCAATCTCTCACCGCCATTGCTTTTTCCGCTTCGGTCATGCTGTCATCAGCATCCAGGTGGGTTTTCATTTTGTTTCTAAACCATAGTTTGTGCTAGGTGGTAGTTACAAAATTTGTATTAGTTGTGCATCATTGTACTAGGTTATTGCTGTGGCTACATTCACATCATATTTGTAAGTATTTGGTGTTGAATTCTCTTCGACTTCATGCAGATTTTTGTCAGTCACGCCGTAGTTAACATTCTAAGAGTGAGCACAGTGTGGCATGCGTGTTTGCTTAGAACCGATATTCGAGTTCTTTTGTGTTACGTTGGTGACTGAAAAATCCCGTCTGTGATCTCAGGAATATTTGTTTGAGTGATGCCATAAGATAAATACAGTGCGGACGAGACGACTCACCGACGGGGAATACTGTAACGAAATATCATATTATGAGACACGATTATTTCGTATCAAAAGTCGTAGCTTTAGTATGAGTTCATTCCGAAGCCACAATAATCACAACAAATACATCTACAAAAACAAAAAATATTACATCACCTGTCGTTCTTTTCAATATTGGTGGCTTCCTCCACTTCTTCTTCCTCGTCGTCCTCATGTTCTTCTGCTACTTCCTCTTCTGTGCTAAATTAAAAAACAACTAATAATTTGCAAAGCTTCGATGGTCCTCCAAAATGCTCACTGCTTTCGCCAACTCGGTATCCATCGTTTTGCACTTCTTATTTTCACTTTCGATTTTTGCAAGGAACGATCGACCTTTTTAAGTGGTGGACAGTCCAGTCGATGTTGTTTTTTCAAAAGTTGTTTGTTGCTGCATAACGTCCTTCTTAGAATTGGAGGTGATGAGTGGTGATGAGCTTGTTTTGGTCGGCGTACTGGCGTTCTACTTCGCCTGAATTCCACTTTTGGAGGTGTTGAATGTCGTGCTGAAGCTTTCAACTGCTGTGTATATAATGAAGCACATTGTCTGAGAGCCTTTGGTCTGGGAATATGCTTCGACCGTATGAAATGCTCTATAAGAAGACGATCAATATACGACAACTCCGGAAATTTCGATTCGTAGTATGTTGTTTTAACAGCATCATCGGTGGAGCCAGAAAAATTTAAAATATCAGATGTATAAATTGCTTCATTTTGACTTAAATATGACTGAGTTCCATCCGCCACAGAGCTCAGTAGTTCGGCGCTTTGAAGAAGCGGATTTGGAGCAGTTTCCGGCAGAAAATTGAGATGAAAGCCACAATTCTTCTTTATTTGGGGTATTACAGAGCTTTTTTCAGGATTCCGCTTTTGTTGATTGGCGTTCAATAGCTTCAGTTTGGTTGGTTGCTTCGGCATAGCGAAGAACCCGTTCAGAGCATCTGGTTTTACCCTTTTCAATTGGTTTCTGACCTTTTTGATTTCTTCGGTGATCTCCTTATCTGAATGCAGTAGACAATCGGGAATTCTAAGCCGATTCACTTTACGCTGTTGTCTGATATCCTTTGCTAAGCCGGTAGTGATTGACCAGTCAAGTTTTCCCACAGCACGCCCAACCTTAGCAAATTGTAATGAATTTGCGCCATTGCGAACTTTTTTCTTCAGAGGTACATCTAAGTGAACAAATACGGAACGTAATGCAGTGGGTAACGTTATAGTTGTCTTCAACTTATTCGGTGCGCGCTCTGTTAACCTCAAATTTATTCGCACATTTTTTTCTGTTGACGCTTTGACGCCTTTATGTGTTACCTGGTAGAAACTGCAATGTTGAATAGAGATTTCGGCTGTTAATGGCAGTGCGTGCTTGGGCATAGGCTGCAAACTGTTGAGCGCCATCCTCTGCTGTTCTGTTACAACCACTGGCTTCCTTTCTTGGCTTCTCGATCCTTGCATTTTAGGCGGCTGCTTGAGTCGCATTTGAGGCCTAATCTTTCGTTTCTGGTTCACGAATGATGGCGACTTCAAAGAATGCGCTTCTGTGATCGAAACTTGCACACATTCACCCTTTCGAGAAGAACGGAAAACTTTTCTTGTTATTAAGAGTTCTTCTTTGCGCTTCAATACATAAGAAGCAGAAACATTCGCGTACAGAGGTAATGCAGAGACATGGCTCACCGATTCATTGACCGGTATCCGCATAAATATAATTTGTGAAATACGCTTGAACGATGGCTTTTTAACGAAGCTAAAGGTTTTCGACGTGGTCTTAGAGGCAGAAGCTTGACATGAATACGACGATTGCATACTACAGCAAGGAATTGGAAGCAGTTTCATGCAGGTAATACTTAGCTTAGGCTTTGAGAACTCCTCGCAAACCAACCCCTCTATTTTTGCTCCTTCTGGGTGATTTCGATCGCTGTCGCTGTCTGTAGATAAGCCCGAATCACTAGAATTACTTGGCTTTCGCACTCTGTGGTAGACTTTCTCTTTTATTATAGGGATCCCTTCCCATGCACGCAAATACTTTGACTCATCTTCGGCACTCAATCCTCTAGAGCGTAAAAGGTTATCGACACGATTGTGTGCAGCAAGAAGGCGGTTTAGGTACTCGGCATGAGTGATATCTTGAACACCACTATTGGGTTGTTTGAAGGAGTCTTTTCGATCAAGAGTCCGTGGTAGGTTAAGCCCATCACCACTCAGCACCGTATCAATGGGTGTAGTATCTGATTTTCGTCTAACAGCGCTAAACCCACCGTATGAGTCCGACTGCTGATGTCTGTGCTGTTTCATATAGCTCTGAGAGTGTCTTTCAACAGCTGAGGTCTTTCTTACACCATAACGTTCTAACAGTGAATTAGTTTTAACATCATGAGTAACCCTGGAGCTTACTGCATGTTCTATCCGTCTACTGTCTTCAGTAGATAATCTATGGGAGGAAAAGAGAGATGACGATGGCAAGGAACTGCGTGCACCTTGTTCTCTAACTGGGTAGTCATGAGGAACGGATGAGTTCCTGCAAGAGGTACTTGAATGTGAGGAGGGCAATTCAGATTGACTGGGTGCATTAGCCGTAAGGTTACGAGCTACTGGAGTTACACAATAGACACCTGGAGAGTACGAATTAGGAACAAACGTATTGAAAGTTGAACGCATGACCCACTATTGTTCCTCCTCGTCGGACATATTGATTTGAACACGCTGAAAATTTTTTGTGTATGAAAGAAAGGACAATAGTAACAAGAGGTATGGTGATTCAACGTTCTATCTCAGTTACACCCAGAGGACCCTCAGAGCACAGCGCGACACAGTCGAAACTGAAAAAAGGCGATTGTTAATAATAAGTATCTCCTTCGCGTTTGTGATGAAGGTCCACCAGGTTTCGCACATCTAAATGGTTCTAGATAAAAATGGACAGGTTGAGTAAAACTTATAACAAACATGAAAGAGGACGACGATGGGGGCTCAGCTGCTCTGTTGAAATGATTTGTTATGATTTCACGATAACTCACCCCGATTATTTACCTTCTGGAGGGTTCTTCGTAAAAATACGCGAGCAGGAAGAAAGCCGGTAGAAGTACTGTTGATCATCAGCAGGGCATTTAAACACGGGAACCAGTTAGATTTGGGAAGAACGGGTGGACCTTCGTCAAATTGTGGCGAAGAATAACGAAGATGCGATAATTAAACGAAATACACCACGATCACGAAGTTTTTTAGTTGTGCTGATGGTTAAAAGCTTTTAGAAAATAACTTCGGAAGAATAACAGTTAAAATGCTGAAAAAGTGTTTGTTAAGTTGAGCTTCTGCAGATACTTCGTGTGAGGGCTTCAAAAATCTATCGTGGTTTTATTTTCAGTAGAACTTGCTTTAAAGTTTGATTAGATTATTGAAGATCTCTGGTTGGTGCATAACACTATTCCACTACGTAACAAAATGCAGTTGAAATCTAATCAAAACTTTTTAATAGCCTCGTGACTACTCAGCAAGCAAAGCCTTCCAAATCCATATTGGTCTACGAATTTGGACCGCAGTCTTTAGTCATTAATAGCCATGAAATTACTCACATGTATCATCAGATTTCCGTAATATACAAAATTACTTAAATCATGTACTGTTTGCTCAACAAAATAAGAATTGGCAACAAAATTTCACAGAAAATTTTTTGCACCGAGTATGACCACTTTTTTAGCTACTGACTGACAGCAAACGTATCAAACAAGATTTGAAAGTTTTTTCGTGTTGAAGGTTTGGAGGCCGCGAGTATATTCAACGCATTAGTGATGAAGCTGATTTTCTGCAACAGGAAATAATTCCTTCATCAGTAGAGTAGTTGCGGAGTTGAGAACTTTACAGATTTATAGAAGAGATTTGCTCTATCTCATAAGAAGGTTAACATTTTCATAAGATATTATTTTATCTTAGATTCACTTAGAATTGAAAATTACAAGAAATTAAACCTAATGATGAAATTTTATGTTTCCTAATAAGTCCGACAGCGGTAGATGACAAAGATGCATTTCAGATCGCAGTCATCTTCTCTGGGTCGAAATCGCTCTTTTTGATTGTTTTCATTTCGAAAGACTCAAAATTCCATCGCTCTAGAATAAAAATGTCTCTGATTGAGCCTTGAGATAGCTGTATCTTCATCTCAGCTAAAGTTGGCTATGAGATGAGATATACCGGTTCATAGCTCAAGGCTAGCCTTAGTTTTGCTGCCCAGCAGATCCATATTATCTTGTAGTTAGGAATGCGTTAAAATTCTAAACATTTTGCAATATCATCTAACAGAGTAAGAACCCTCTACGCATAATGATAACTGTCTGACTGTATCTGAATGTGAGAGAAAACAAATATTTGCCAAAGGTCTATGAATCTTCTGTCTATCAGCGATCTAATATGATCACTGAATTGAAATGAGGGCCAGTTGAAATAAGGGATTGCCATCTGCTGCATTGAAAATACTTGAACGAAAATCTGTTGCAGAACAATTTTAGCTCAGTGAGCCATGAATTTTCCAAAAACCACTTCTTCAGATGAGAACCATGCACTCGGAATAAAATCCTATTTATCGTGCATTCTTGTAGATCCGATTGCCGTTAAGCAGTACTTGGGAGTACTTAACAGCACAATGGGTAGTTAGGAATGCCTTGAATAGCAATAGTATTCGTGCTATGAAGACGTTATTTTCATGAATCAACGAAATCGGTCTATACAAACAATTTTGAACGAGGTCGTAGACTATGGATGGAGATTCGAGTAATCATTAAAAACAATAAAAGTATTGATTCTCAAAGGATAATTTGATGGAATATGTTGGAGCCCTTGGATTCTTCTTCATTTCTCCGTCAAGAGAAGAACACAAACAATCTACCTGAAAAAATCATCATTGACTTTGGTGGGCAACTTTTGGGGTCATTTACAGAAAAAAAACATAGAAACGATTGTGAAGAGTTTCCTAGGTAAAATTGGCCAACACAACTGTTGAGGAGCGAACATTCACGAGGATAACGATATCATCTATTGCTAACAGATTTGGAGGAATGAGAAAGGATGTTGGACGGACGAAAAAAGTCGAGTGAATAATGTTTTGTGTAAATGACCTGTCGTCGTATACGAAAACATTTTCAGATTGATTGATAGCTATCGCGCGATTGGCTCACGCAGAAGTCATTGCAACCTTTAATCTATGAGGTTTGGAAGCCGGTAACACAATATTACAACTGGCACCACACAGTGTAACATATTTCTACACGCAAATCCAACAACACTCAAGCCTTAGAGGAGGTTCGAAGTACTGCCAAACTTGTCTCAAGCAATTTCGCCTTTCACCGAGAAAGCATTGATGACTGATCTTTTGCACTTCATAATTGTTATAGCATGAAAATTTGCTAGTGAGTCACAAAATTCCTTTATCAATAATTCGTTGTTTTCATGATAAGCGCAGACGAAGCTGTTACTATGTTATTTAATTCTCCTCAAAAGCCAACGCTTGAGCCGATTTTGCTCTTTTCATACCTGAAAAGGTGAAGATAATTGACACATGGTCAACTAAACGCTTCCATAACATCAAAAGAGAAACCAGCACACCTAGGTTTCATTCGCATTAGAACCAAAACATCTTCTTAATACATTCACCGCATTCTATGAGCCCTCTACTGGGTATTCCACATAGAGGGCAACCGTAGAAAGTTCAAATGAATGGGTTTACTCTCCTGTCATGTTAGAATAACAATTTCAGTAATGTCTGAGATCACTTTTGATAAGGAAATATTTCTTTCCACAGTCCTTTTTCGGATCTGTGAAATTTATCCAGAATGCTTCTAAAGCTTCTGATTCCTGTTCGACGGTCGTCACTCTTCCTGTTCTGCCTCTGTTTCTCAAGCACACCTAGTGAAGTATTTTTCCAGCTTTACACTTATCATCTAGGTGTTGTTTTATACCGACACAAAGCAGTTTAATCATTTCGATAACAAATCCGTTCAGGCACGTTTTACAGGAAACGATATAAACGATACCCGAACTTTTGCACTCACCTCCCCTAGCGTTAGGGAATATTATGCAGTCTTCCATTTCTTCTAGAATGTCAAACAAACGGTTACGAACTAACTAGCGACTTAGAGTGCTCGATGGCTTTTCAGTCATTGCTGCCGCTTTTTCTAGACCGACCCTTTCTAGACACCGTTTAATAGGTATGCTTATTTAGTTGGAAATGGAAGGTAGGTCCAACGGAGGTAATAATTCTAGAGGTGTGTATGGATAACTACACAATTCCTTACAGTTATAAAACATATAAGAAATTTTATGCGAAGACTTGACAGGTTGCACGGAGCAATTTTTGGCCTTGTTATAATGCTTTGCCATGAAACAGAACATCGTTGATGGTCAACCTAATTCCGTTATTAACTTTGATGATGGCTGAACGGTGCACCAGCACTGGCCCTCACCTACAATGCTAGTGCGTTCCTCTCAAGTACATCACTAGCCGATTTCGAAATACTGTCGTATGATTACAACGAAAAGTAGTCGCCAAATAGCGTATGAGAGTCTGATAAATGGCTTACACTAACAAAACCTAATTTAAAATTTTCGAAAACTTTTCGAACAATTCTTCAGTTGGCAGTTTAAGTGCAGAACATTTAATAAAAAATTGTAAATATTAACGCGGTTTCGTTTCAAAATCGCTCATGAAAATCGGATTTCATTGATCAAAAATCCGCAACAGTCGAACCTTTTAATACTGTTTCTCAACCGTAAATTTATCACAAAAATGGAAGGAAAACTGCAAATATTGTTCTGTGTAACTAACAGAGCATTGGAATTTCTACAAACAAGTTATTCTTCCTTCATGACAAAGGATCGGCTTCTCTTCCTTGATGGGCACCGAATGACTGAAATCGCTTAATATATTGCACAAAACAGGTGGCATTAGACTCGATACTCTGCTACAACTGTGCACTAGATTTGAGATCTTGTAATATTCTACCACAAAAGTTGCTGTCGCTTAGGAAGAATCCTAGTCACGAAGGGACATGTTCTCCCTCCTAGAATTCCGAAGGTTAGCCACTGTTCGTGGTGACGAGCTGAGAACGCCCTAGCACAGCCATCTCGGGTTTCCAACGGAAATCATCCTCGAACAACGATCGATATGTTAGTGAGGAAATAAGGTGACAGTTTCAATTTGTGCCCCAAGTTAGTAACAATCCCAGAAATGTTGTGCATGACACTATTGCGCTTATTATTGGGTGAAAACTGCGAACCAATCTCTTTCAATGATTACTTTTTTATAATTTTACGCTCCTTTATTTGAAAGACTATTAACTAATTAATATATGCCACCAGTGTAGTGGTATTTTGACACTTTTTCCCTAATAAATTAATAGCGGAAGCATAGCATCGTTTTATTTCATAGCCAGTAAAACCTCCGTGTCCGTTCTGAGAAGGTTCTCCATTTAATATCAGACTGTTTCAAATTTCCAAGATATTCAGTTGCTGGAATCGACAAGTGGATCAACAAGTGGATATAGATGCAGCCTGCAGATTAACCTTGTATTTAACTTCGACGACGGATATTCAGTCAACATGAAAGAAGGTCAACAGCTCAATGAGAATTATCATAAAACGAGCTGTTGTGCGAGTAACGCAGTGGTTAGTGA